TCATCAATGCTTCTTGCTCTCCATCATGGGCGTTAGGGTGAAGGAGGATACTGTTTCACGAAGAACAAAGATGTACTGGCGCTGTCTGTGCATAATATCTGCGGCAAATTATCTGCCTATGTGGTTTGGTGGTGTTGATGTTGACTGAGGACACAGCTGTGTTGGTACAATCTTCAGGGATAGACAATGATGGCATGAAGCACATACTGCTTCAATGGCTCTGTCCAGATCTAAGGCAAAGAAATATCTGCTGAACAGGCGTTTCATTTGGTGTTTGGAGGGGTGATTGAAGCGAAGATGAACTGCAGTGAGCAGGCCATCAATGACACTCCTCGGGACAACAATACGTTCTCTGGTAGGCTGGAAAGGTTGTGTATCTCTCACTACAAGAAGACCATCATTGGCCACAGTGACATCTCCCAGGTAGCGTTTTACGTCTTTAATTTTAACCAATTTCTTTGAGGGTCTGGTGCCTTGGATAAGATGTGAATGAGTACGTCTTAGGCTAGAACACTCTTGCTGAGTGGCCAACCAGGCCCCACGACTTGTAAAAGGCATTTTTACCGACCCTTCAATAACGTCACTTACAGTCAGATTACTAACTGCACAACTCTCCAACTCTTCAAAAAACTTACAAATTTGACAGGATTGATCCAAGCATTCTGAGGGATGTCGACTTGCAAAGTCAGTAGGTACATTTGAGACTCCTGCTATATGTTGAACATCTATCATATAGCGGCTCAATGTGGACAAGAATGTAGTAACTCTGGAACTAGCAGAGAACTCACCCCGTCTCAATTTCTCATAAGCCTGGACACAAGGTCGACTATCGGTCAAAAGCTGTGTTTTATGTTTTGATTGTATTATATAAGGAGCAAAGTGCTTTACTGCTGCCCCTATACACAAAGCTTCTACGTCGCAGGGCAGCCATGCAATTTGATGTTTCTTCAATTTAGCATTGAAAAAAACTGATAGACGTAATTTGCCATTTTGTTGAGAGGAGTACAATGTAGCAGCAATTCCTTTGTTTTTCCCGGAGGCATCTGTGATTATCCACAATTGGTCATTTGGCCCTGGTACTGTAATCTTTTGACAATTTTGTAGTGCATATTGAGCAGTTTTAAATGAGTCTATTAGGTTCTCAGACCAGTTGATTTTGCTAGCTGATTGCTGTCCAGCTGTTGCCTGCTCCGGAGGATCAATGAGGTCAGCATAGCCTTTACGGACGCGGCTGAGGACTTTGTATGCTCCAATAAATGACCTCAGACCTGAGACATTGTTAGGTGGATCAATTAAAGAGAGGGTAGCAATTCTGTGTGGGCTAGCTTTAATTGTGCCATTTGACCAAATCCAACCCAAAATATTAGTAGATTTGGGACAGACTATGGTCTTTCTAGCTGATAGGTGTAGATTATTGTTGTGCAGTGCTTCAAGTGTGCGACTCCAATTATGTAAGACACTGTCAGGTATTCCACCCCCAATATAGAGATCATCAGCTATTTTCGAAGCACAGCCTTCCTGGATAAGGTCGCCTAGAACTCTGCACATAACTTCTTCCAAACTGGTTTTGGATCCTGGCATACCCATAGCACAGCGTGTATATACCCTGACTCCTTTAAATGGAGTCGCCACTCCACAATATTTCATGGACTTGGATGCTAGCGGGATTTGATAATAGGCCTGATTCAAATCTGTTTTAATAATGTACTTCCATCCGGCAATGTCACGTAATACATTATCCACACTTGGCATTAGGGATGGTTGAGGCTTACTGTATTGGGCAACTTCACCGAATGATGTTACTAGACGGCTTCCGCCATTCGGGTTTTTTTACTAAGAATGACAGGTTGAGATATTCTACTGTAACATTCACTTGTTCTGGTTTAGCAAATACGCCTGCAGATTCGAGCTCATCAAATTTATTTTGTAATTCAATCATAGTAGCACGGTTATAATGAGGAAGTCTACCCTTTCTTTGTGGGGGTAAGACTGGGCCCATATTTACCACTGCTTCAATCTTTCCACTAGCCCCGTTATACTTAGATATTAAAGGGTTGAATACTTCATCATATTGTAAATGCAGATCTCCAAATTTGCCCTTAATATCCACAGGAAGCTGGTTGTCTGGGTCCAGTGATACACTAGATGAGTGTGGGTGAGATGATTTCAGTGGGTTGTGTGCTATTGAAGTTGTCTCATGGGTATTTTCCATTAATGTTGGTGTTATCGGGCAAACTTGGCACAAATGGTCATGTCGTTTTACCAATATTGGATCAGGTGTTGAGTTAGTAACTCTGAGGGTGTGGCCAACTGACTGGATTTCCTGGGGGATAGGCCACGTTTTACTGAATTTAACATGTTTATTGGCCTGACTATCCATTCGAGGTTCCAGTGCTAGCATAGAATCTGGTTCACATTCCTCTGGGATATCCAGCTGAATAAATTCACCTGGTAGAATTCTCTGTTGAGTAGAACTTCTAAGCAAACAGGATTGAGTACTACGTATGGAAGCGATGCGGTCAGGTTGAGGGCCATAATAGATGATATCGGTGCCCTTAATAACGACCTGTCTTTTGGCTGGACGGGTTGCAATGTCATTGTCCACAAGAAAAGGGTTCCCGACAAGAACCTCAACATCAAGTCGCTTCACAACTAATGCGTCTAGCTGGAATATGTGCTTATTTCTAGTTAGCTGGCAGTGAACCTCTCCAATAACATCAAGTGGAGTTACTCCATCAGCCTGATGAGCCATCTGAGATGCTGGTTCAATAGGCAAATTCACAGCTTTGGCAAACGAGGCTCTGATTAAATTAGTTGTGGCCCCGGTATCGAGAGTTACCTTAATGGGAATACTGAGATAATATGTATTCGAAAATGGAGACTGTATTACATTAACCCGTAGAGTTGTTGGTAGATCAATTAGGGCATTTGGAACTACACACTCATCTGGTATATCATGTTCCATATCATCAGGTGACAGTTGGTAGTCCACTTCATTTTCAAGTGTGACCAAACGAGAACGGCTTATGGCACGCTTATCTGCTTCTGGCAAGTACCTACAGTCTATCAGTGTATGTGAGGAATGCCCAGGTCTACCAGCCGTTCTACAAAGAACACACATTTTGGTGGCTTATTGCGTGCTGCATACTTCTGGTCACGGGAATTAACTTGGTTTCTTATTGGTCGGTTGAATGCACCTGTACGAAGCACCTTTGTATCTTCAATGCTATGTAACTCGTCTAATAGAGATGACATGGCTTGCGAAATTTCGGGTTTCAAAGAGGCCAAGGATTTATTACGTAGTTCTGCACCATATTTCTGCTTCACTAACTGTGGGAGTTCTGGGTTAATGAGTTGTAACCATAGAAAAACGATGGTGTTCTCAAGGGTTGGGGTCATGTCTTCATCATCTGGAACCTGGTCACTGTGATGTGTAATACCGCCATCTTTGGTCAATAAATTATCTTCATAAAATGCCATAATGCGCTGATACAAATCTTCAGGTTTTTCATCTGGTTGTAGGCGAATTTTATCAAGATCCAAAAAATGAGCCCCTGAGGACTGAAACCCATAATTCTGTCTGATTTTCTGCCAAATATCACTGAGCGAAGTACATTGCTTAATGATGGAGTTACGTGATATAACTGTGCAGTAATTTGCTATCTGGCCGAGCATTAATTCAAGCTGAACATTTTTCTGGTCTGCAGTTTTTCTCAAATCGGCGGGGATGGGGCTTCCATCATCCTGTAATCCTCTAGTTGAGTCGGCAGTATTTTTCTTCTTCCATTCAAATCCATCAACAAGGAATGTCGAGAAATTGTTATCGTGTGAGAGGATATACAATAAATTCTGTTTCCAGTTTTCAAATGAATTAGTGGTTTCATTTTTGGTGAGTTGCCATTGTTTTGGAGCGCGAGTGGATGCCATAATAGTTTAAATGAGTCAAATCAGGGTTCAATGGTGCACAGCAATATCACAAACAAACTTGAAACTACACAAGGGTCGCAAAAACAAGAAAACTACTTAGCTCAAAAACTGTCTTTGTTCCGACAAAATGTCCACATCAATCACACAGGTGAAAGGCTTGACTTTAGTCTTCTATTTGTTGAAGTCACAAGTGTCGACGTAGGCTCTTTACGCTGCCACCACGGCAATTGAGACAAACCAATGCTGTATTGTGCGGACGTAGTTTAATGGCGGATAACAAGGACGTGTACAGAGAAGTAATAATGAACAAACAAACAGAACGAAAGAACAACTCAGATGGTCGTGTGATGCGTGATACCCGTCCATCTGCCCTACATCATGTATGATATAAATGTCACAATTGAATGTCATAAACTTTAGTTCTGATACTGTAATTCGAGTATAGTAATATGAACAACACGAAAATATACATTTACAGGATTGTTATAACATAATCAACACAATTTTGGGTGGCGCTAGGCTCTCACCCCCAAATTAAGGCATTATTATGGCCCAAGCTAACAACCTGAATTTAAATTCATGGGTGGCGCTGGGCTCACACCCTGCATATGCATTATTATGGCCTTGAATTCATTCCATTACCCAATTTCCACTCAGTTGCCATCCAGGTGGCTTTCTAACTCTGGAGGATCGACGAGGCATAATATGATCAGCTGGCTCCTCATTATTGTCACCTCTTTCTGGTGAGGCTTGGGATAAGGTTGGGGTGACCATGGTAGTAGGCAATGATGTAATCTCAGTATCCGACTCAGAGTCTTCAACTTCATTCAGACCTCTAACGAGATCGAAGAAGGGCTGGTGTAGCACAGTAGGCTTAATTGGATAGCAATCATTAAGTCTAACATCATATACTTTAGCACAGAACTGGGGTTTCGTGAACTTTCCAATATGACAATGGTCATCAGACAGACCAACAACCAAGTAACGATTTCTGGCACAAGTTTTATCCCTATCGCCGTAAAGGTATACAAGGTCTGCAAGACATATATCTCCTGCAGCAGATTTTGACTTGCCATGCGCTTTCGATTTTGAACTAGGACCATGGCTAAATATGCACTGGAAATGTTGCTGTTGTATTATTTGTCGATCATCTATAGGGAACTGCTCCCCAGTGAACTGGTCTCTTTGTGTCCATATCTCGCGTGCCGATAAGCCTCCTTTCCTTATTCTGGTGTTTAGATTAGCAGTCGCCATTGCTAAGGTAGTAGTGGATAAAGGACCTCCCTCAGGATTTATGTTGAGGCATTCAAGGCCCAGTTCTTTGATAGCATTCTCCGCCACAGGATTCTTATTAATATTTTTAACATTTCCAACCTGTAAACGTATACCTAGTCGTTTAAGTTTCGGGTCATTGGTTATGGCAACCAAGCCCGGGCCAGAGTCTATACGGATGAAGATATCCTCATCACCCAAAGATCTAACCTCAGCACAGAGTGCCAATATGACATTTCGAACGTCATCATGCTTCTCGCTCTCCATCATGGCCGTTAGGATGAAGGAGGATACTGTTTCACGAAGAACAAAGATGTACTGGCGCTGTCTGCGCATAATATCTGCGGCAAATGATCTGCCTATGTGGTTTGGTGGTGTTGATGTTGACTGAGGACACAGCTGTGTTGGTACAATCTTCAGGGATAGACAATGATGACATGAAGCACATACTGCTTCAATGGCTCTGTCCAGATCTAAGGCAAAGAAATATCTGCTGAACAGGCGTTTCATTTGGTGTTTGGAGGGGTGATTGAAGCGAAGATGAACTGCAGTGAGCAGGCCATCAATGACACTCCTCGGGACAACAATACGTTCTCTGGTAGGCTGGAAAGGTTGTGTATCTCTCACTATAAGAAGCCCATCATTGGCCACAGTGACATCTCCCAGGTAGCGTTTTACGTCTTTAATTTTAACCAATTTCTGTGAGGGTCTGGTGCCTTGGATAAGATGTGAATGAGTACGTCTTAGGCTAGAACACTCTTGCTGAGTGGCCAGCCAGGCCGCACGACTTGTAAAAGGCATTTTTACCGACCCTTCAATGACGTCACTTACAGTCAGATTACTAACTGCACAACTCTCCAACTCTTCAACAAACTTACAAATTTGGCAGGATTGATCCAAGCATTCTGAGGGATGTCGACTTGCAAAGTCAGTAGGTACATGTGAGACTCCTGCTATATGTTGAACATCTATCATATAGCGGCTCAATGTGGACAAGAATGTAGAACTCTGGAACTAGCCGAGAACTCACCCCATCTCAACTTCTCGTAAGCCTGGACACAAGGTCGACTATCGGTTAAAAGCTGTGTTTTATGTTTTGATTGTATTATATAAGGAGCAAAGTGGTTTATTGCTGCCCCTATACACAAAGCTTCTACTTCGCAGGGCAGCCATGCAATTTGATGTTTCTTCAATTTAGCATTGAAAAAACCTGATAGACGTAATTTGCCATTTTGTTGAGAGGAGTACAATGTAGCAGCAATTCCTTTGTTTTTCCCGGAGGCATCTGTGATTATCCACAATTGGTCATTTGTCCCTGGTACTGTAATCTCTTGACAATTTTGTAGTGCATATTGAGCAGTTTTAAATGAGTCTATTAGGTTCTCAGACCAGTTGATTTTGCTAGCTGATTGTTGTCCAGCTGTTGCCTGCTCCAGAGACTCAATGAGGTCAGCATAGCCTTTAAGGACACGGCTGAGGACTTTGTATGCTCCAATAAATGACCTCAGACCTGAGACATTGTTAGGTGGATCAATTGAAGAGAGGGTAGCAAT